GCTCTAAGTTCTACTGCATTGGCAGTTGACGGTTGAGGGATCTCCGTCTTGGTAGATCTTCAACACCCGGATTTGGGAGGTATATAAGGTCTGAGAGGTCTAGTCAGAACGAGAAAGGCAACGCGGTCTTCAGGAGAGGCAGAGGGTCGATCGGGGCCTCGTCTGGCTTCGCAGCCTCGGCAGAGTCGTGGACCCCGCAGTCGCACCGTGACATTACAACAACGCACGATAAATGTTTAGCAAGGCGATCATTTCATCATGTTAACGTGACGGATCTGTGATTTACCGATTTTGAGCTACTTTCATCTGGCAAAGTTCAAAATATCTCGACGTGAAAGTTGCAGTGTCGAACTCTCTTAGTTTACCTCAATCTCATCGTCCGAATACAAATCAGGGTATTTCTCAGGATCGTCCATCCCTGTCCGATATTTCTCAAGATCGTCCATCGAGAAATATTATTATTCCAAAGGAGGGAAAGCAATTCCATTGGTCAAAAGTAAATCGAGTCAAACAGTAAAACCACTCGAACTCATTTCACGTTTTGCGGCCGACCACAGAGGTATCAAGCTTGAATTCTATTGGGTAGTGCACCTCGGCAAATCACAGCTCTATATGCTGTTGGTAACAACGTAGTCCCAAGTTCGGTATTTGTTTCTTGTCCTCGAGCTGGTATTTTAAACTGCCCACGGTATTGAATGGCAGCTCCCAACACGGCGACGGCAGTGTCCCCGGTCAAACAAAGCCACGCAATCAATACCGAATTACGAGCTAGGAGGTACGCGAGAGATTGCGAAATCATATGCACCCATGGCACTGGTGCAACCCATCAGGTACAAGGGCTGCTGCCCCGCACTTGCCAGTTTGGCTACAACAAACCCGTGAGTAATGGCCGCCACCGCTAGCAAGGCACTGTACACAGCTCGGGGGGTGGTTGACCCCAGCATGAACACTTTCCAGGGCTCCGTAAATGCATGCCCTGACCTCACTCGGACGACGTACGTGAAGGCATCGGCCACACACAAAACAGCAGCCGCGCCCCATAAAAAGTACCGGATTCTGGTAGATGCGTTTAGCGTAATGGCCCCCGCAACCACGAGGCACACCATGGCCACAATCGACAGGCACAAACCATTGTACGGGGCGGCCAAGAACGCAAAGTAAAAGAAAAACCAGTACGAGCTCAAAAGCGTCGAAAGTTTCACACACTTAGCGCCTGCAAAAATAGCCCACAGTGCCAACACAGCTCCAATGATCCCGGCTACAGCAATCAACAGGGCGGGGATGGAGGATAAAATATTGCCACATAAGAATTGCTGAGGACCACACAGGAATTGCTGAGAGCCAC